CCCACTTCCGGGCTGAAAAGCAGACGGTAGGCCAATACGCTCGGGCTTTGGTGCCTCAACTCGCCGAAGGAAGCTCGGCTCCTATGGTGACCTTGGATTGCTTTTTTCAATCTGGGTTTTTAAAAAATAAATAAATCAGGGAGGAGGGGCACAAAACAGAATAGCCAGTCAAAACCCTTGCTTTGTGGGTAAGGATTTTGAGAGGAGCTCCCAAGCGGGGAGAAGGAGCCTTGGGAAAGAAACGAGTTGGCTTCTCTGCTTTGCTTTTAAATGCACCCATAGGTGTGTGTTTCTACAATTTCTTCCCTATCGCTGGTATGAGACTCTCGCTGGAGGCTGGATGATCTTTCTGAGGCTTGTTATTTACACTCAACACACTATATCTCCTTCTATGGCCCTGTCATTCCAAGTAGAGTCTTGCACCCTGCGAGGGGGCCACCTCCAGCACTCCTCTGCCACCTTCCTTGCCTCTTAGTACCCCCTGCTGCCCCCCTTGCCTCTTAGCGCCCCCTGCCACCCCCTTGCCTCTTAGCACCCCCCTAAGTCATCCCACTGCCCCCAGGGGGCAGTACCGCCCACTTTGGGAACCACTGCTCTAGAGATACAGTGTTTTAGATCTGCTGCCTATTAAGAGCTGATACAAAGAACAGAAACACATGCTTAATAAATATTTCTTTTCTTTTCTCATTTTTTTTATTCCTTCCTTATCTATTCACTATTTTACTTTCTTGATTTTTTGGGGGAAATTTGTATTGTTGCCTTTAAAAAATCTCATTTATAAAAACTATAAGGAGGGAGGGAGGGAGGGAGGAAGAACACGTGTATGTCCCAGTTTGGTGTAGTTGTTAAGGGAGATTGTGAGTTCTAGTCATGTCTTAGGCACAAAAATAGCTGGGTGACCTTGGGCCAGTCAGTTTCTCTCAGCACTAGAAAGAATGCAATGGTGAACCCCTTGCCAACTACCACAGCATTATGAATTCAGAAGAAAGAAACTCTCTATACAGCTGACATGTGATATTTGAGCATCAGATTTGACAGGGAAGGAAGCCTATGTCAACTTGTGAAGCATTCCTGACCTGCTGTCAAGTTGCCATAGACAAGGTGATGGAGAACTGAGCCTTGCAGCTGCAGCCAGGGGAAGCACATTTCAGTCAAAACAAAAACATATTCCAGCCATCTCTATTTCAAGGCCATCTCCATGGATACTCGGAGTGGCCAGAGGGAGGGACTCTGAAATTGCTTCATTGGGGAATGTGACTGATGACACACCTTGGCAGGAGGGGGAAACAGGGTCAGAGCTGGGGCATGAATCAAGTGAGGTCAGAGTTGGCTGAAGCTCCTAATAAATAACTGGATTTCTTTTGAAGCTTGGCTCGAGGCTCATGATTTAATTGGGGCATTGGTCGGAACCCTGACAACCTAATCCTGCCTTTTCCACAACTCAGTTCTCAGCAACTTTTATAATGCTGGATCAAAGTTAGAGTAACTTGGCTGAGATGGGCGGCTATAGAAATGGAATAAATAAATAAATTAAAGACAAGAAAACTTGTGTGAGAGGAAAACATTGAATTAAACTTTCTTTTAAAGGAAGCGTAAAGTTCATAGAAAGTGTAAAGTGTGAAATTCAGAGAAAAAAATACTTTTCTCTGCATCCTTAAGAGACAGGCTTACAGGTAGTCCTCAATGTATGACCACAGTTGAGCCCACAATTTTTGTGGCTAAGTGAGACATTGGTTAAATGAATTTCTCCCCATTTTATGACCTCTCTTGCCACAATTGTTAAGTGAATCACTGCACTTCTTAAATTAGCAACCTGGTTGTTAAATGAATCTGAATTCCCCATTGACTTTTTCTATCCAAAGGTCACAAAAGGTGATCACATGACCCTGGGAGACTGCAAGCATCATAAATATGAGCCAGTTGTCAAGTATCTAAATCCTGATTACATGCCCATGGGGATGGTTTAATGGTTTTTAGTGTGAAAAACGGCCATGAGTTACTTTTTTTCAGTGATGTTGTAACTTTGAATGGTCACTAAACAAACTGTTATAAGTTGAGGACTACCTGTAATTCAGAGTAATATGGATTTAAATTAATTAATTTTAAAAAATTACAGACTTACTTTCGGTTTGCTTTTTGATCTTTAGCGTTACTGTCTCTCCAGCCATTTGGAGTAGATGAATGGCTTCGCTTAGAGGCTTCCCTTTAAGGCTGACATTATTAATAGCTAATATCCGGTCTCCTACGTGGATAGCTCCAGTTCTAAGGAAAAAGTAAAGGAAACTTCAGCTGTGATGCATGGCAGCAATTTCATTTAAAAATCCATCCCTCTACCGTGAATTATGAGACAGAAAATACTATGGAGATCTGAAGGAAAATATGAAAATAAAATCCATAATGATGTATAGATTTCCAGCCATTCATCATTCACTGTTCCTGTGCTTTATACTGGGAAGAGAAATTCTACTGTGTACGTATTCTTACAATTCACATTAATAAAATAATAACCAGGGAATAATCCAGCAATTTCATATCAGAAATGAAATTGGTCACAATCTTAACCTGGAAATTATAATTTTGCCATATTTTAAGAAAGAGCCTAGAATTGGATGAAATGTCAAGATCTTGTAATGGCCATTTGGCCATTTTTTATTTTTAAAATGACTTCAAACTTAGTTTTAGGGTGCTTGGGATGGGGCTAAAGGCTACTGCAACTGTAGAAGGTAAATAGGATTGCCTTGATGGAGATAAGCAAGATCCATTCTCTAGGCCAGTGATGGTGAGCCTTTTCAATACCGAATGCCAAAAAGGGAGTGTGCATGCTTGTCTGGGATGTGACCTGGAAGAGGAGTTGCCCAGGGGGCATGTGTGCTGTAAAATGCACTTCCGGTTTCCAGAGGGCGCACGTGTGCCAAATAGCTAGACTTCCGGTTACTGGCACATGGCACGTCAGGTGGCCTGCACACATATTCATGCTGGAAAATGGAAGACCAGCTCTTCCAGTTTCTGGCACTGCCGCATGCACGAAGGCCAGTTGATCATTGCACACACATGCGCACCAGAGACATGACATGGCTCGTGTGCCACTTCTGGCACGCGTGCCATAGGTTCGACATCATGGGTCTAGAAAATTGAAGACAGGGACCTATCTGAAGTTTGCAACATTCAGATCATATTCAGAAACGACTCAGGAAATCACCACCCTATTTCACAGGAGTATAAGGGGAGGAAGTCCACTATAATCAGACTTGCAGGATTCTGTTATTATAGCTAAAATCAATGACATACAATTATGATTGTATGTGGATTTCATATTCTACTGGGGCTGACCATGACCTTGGAGAAGCCAGCCAGAAACCATTAAGACAACAACAAGTGCAGAAGTACTGTAGGTGTAGAGCCCAGAGAGGCAAAACAATACTTTAAAGGATTCTGACCGGTTCCCTCTGATTCCTGTGAAATTAAAGGAAGGGAAAACACAAGTAGGCTTGTAAACAACTGACATGATAGACCTTTATCAATAGAGTGTTCTAGTTTTCCTCTGGAGTCAGTTTTTTTTATTTGGCCGTGTTTCTCAACCTGAGGGGTGGGAGTTGAAGACCACCCCTCTTAAAGTAGAGCCGAGGTGGCNATTGTAATTGGAGCCCTTGGAGCGATACCTAAAGGGCTACCTCACTATTTGGAAATTCTAAATTTATTGGATTTGAACATTCTGATTCTACAAAAAACCACCCTACGTGGAACAGCTTATATCCTCCAACATTATCTTACCAGTTCCTAGGTCCTTGGTTAGGACTTGAGCTTTGAGCTACCAACCAGCCTCAAAGTCTGTGAAAAGATTAACCACATAATAATCAGAAAGTGATATGAGTTGACTTTAAAAATCCTGTTCTGCTAGTCAATAGATTTCCTGTATCAAATACTATTATTGACTTGTGGTAATCTCATATTACTGTAAAACTGTTTAATAATAGGATGGGAGTCTGACCACTAGACATACTGGTTGGGCCAGAAGTGGGGGTCTACATCATGCTTACTTTAAAGGAGATTTGTATTTTTCTGAGTTCATATGATAATCACCCAGTGTCAAGAAAATAAGTGAAGGAAGGAAGCATTAATGCTCAATTTAAAATACTATCCATCCCTCAGTTCGATAACAATCCAGGATTATTCTAAAGGATCAAAAAGTGGTGGGAGAGGATGAAATAACTAGCTAGCCAACCAGACAATTTCCTATTCATTCAAAACTTAAGTTAATTGGTTTATTTAAACATCATTGTTAAAGAATGGATTTATTACTACTAGAAAGATTTCAAGGAAAATTTCTCAGAATCAGAATGCAAAACTGGGGGGAAATGCCTGGATTTGGATGAATGAGAGACCAGAGACTCAAGATGATAATGAAAAAGCAGGGAAGGAAAGTAGAGGAAACGGACACAAAAAAGGCATGCAAAATGATGATGATGAGGCAGAAAATGGCATTTTCAGGTGAGTTGGCCAACAGGCTCCTCATTCTGCTACAACTTGAGACAGGGAACATTCAGAAGCATGTGTTTTCTTCCCCTAGTGTATGTGTTGTCCATTCATTTGGTCATGATGCCCAATTTCCCCCAAAAAAGATGTTTAAGACTGTTAGTTAATATTAGAAAGTTGTTGACAGAGGGGTTTATGGAGATGAGATTTTTAAAAAGTCAAGATGGCCACTATAATTATGCAATCAAAGCTCTGCTGCTCTTTTATGCAATTACTCCAGCCACTCTTTTGCTCATTTCCACCAGGATTTCAAGGCAATATGCTTCATTTTTTTCCCAAGAGTATTTCCAGAAAAATAATTCTGTGAAGTAGGATAGCAAAATGCCTAGTGGGTTTCTGTGGTTTGGAATGAACTTCTAACCTTCAGTTTTGGATCATTATATCCCGCGTCCTAACCACATCACCCCGATCAGTTTTCTTTGGCAACTGGCTTGAAATGAGGGGAGGAATGCCATCCAGAACATTCCCAATGCTTAGGATAGGGAGACTGCCAAAACAATTTGTTCATTCCATATGCAAACATCCGTAAACAAAGTGTCTTTGTGGAATGAATCATAGCATCCATGAAAACAAGAGAAATTTATAGAATGGAATAATAAAATGGTCCAGATTGAATGTAATATTGTGACTTGCATGCCTCACCACTACATCCCCAACTGCAATAGTCAACAAAGAATTGTACATCCTAAGATTATTCTGACCTGGTGAAATAGGAAAAAAAAGAGAAAGAGAACATTTCTTACCTTCTTGTCAAAAAAAAAAAAAAAAAAAAGAAAACATTTTTTTCCTTCTTGAAAAAAAAAAAAAAAAAAAGAGAGAGAGAGAGAGAGAGAAAAGAACAGGC